AGCGGGGCACAGACTATCCAACAAATTCTTGGACTGCATTGCAGACAACTTTTTATTTCAGAAGGTTGAAAAAGCTACTAGGGGTGAAGCTGTTCTAGACTTGATTTTAACAAATAGGGAGGAACTCGTTGAGAATTTGAAAGTAGAAGGCAGCTTGGGTGAAAGTGATCATGAAATCATAGAGTTTGCAATTCTAAGGAAGGGTAGAAGGGAGAACAGCAAAATAGAGACAATGGATTTCAGGAAGGCGGATTTTGGTAAGCTCAGAGAGCTGATAGGTAAGGTCCCATGGGAATCAAGACTGAGGGGAAAAACAACTGAGGAGAGCTGGCAGTTTTTCAAAGGGACACTATTAAGGGCCCAAAAGCAAGCTATTCCGCTGGTTAGGAAAGATAGAAAATGTGGCAAAAGACCACCTTGGCTTAACCACGAGATCTTGCATGATCTAAAAAATAAAAAGGAGTCATATAAACAATGGAAACTAGGACAGATTACAAAGGATGAATATAGGCAAACAACACAGGAATGCAGGGGCAAGATTAGAAAGGCAAAGGCACAAAATGAGCTCAAACTAGCTAAGGGAATAAAGGGGAACAAGAAGACTTTTTATCAATACATTAGAAGCAAGAGGAAGACCAAAGACAGGGTAGGCCCACTGCTTAGTGAAGAGGGAGAAACAGTAACAGGAAACTTGGAAATGGCAGAGATGCTTAATGACTTCTTTGTTTCGGTCTTCACCGAGAAGTCTGAAGGAATGCCTATCCTAGTGAATGCTAATGGGAAGGGGGTAGGTTTAGCAGATAAAATAAAAAAAGAACAAGTTAAAAATCACTTAGAAAAGTTAGATGCCTGCAAGTCACCAGGGCCTGATGAAATGCATCCTAGAATACTCAAGGAGCTAATAGAGGAGGTATCTGAGCCTCTAGCTATTATCTTTGGAAAATCATGGGAGACGGGAGAGATTCCAGAAGACTGGAAAAGGGCAAATATAGTGCCCATCTATAAAAAGGGAAATAAAAACAACCCAGGAAACTACAGACCAGTTAGTTTAACTTCTGTGCCAGGGAAGATAATGGAGCAAGTAATTAAGGAAATCATCTGCAAACACTTGGAAGGTGGTAAGGTGATAGGGAACAGCCAGCATGGATTTGTAAAGAACAAATCATGTCAAACCAATCTGATAGCTTTCTTCGATAGGATAACGAGTCTTGTGGATAAGGGAGAAGCTGTGGATGTGGTATACCTAGACTTTAGTAAGGCATTTGATACGGTCTCGCATGATATTCTTATCGACAAACTAGGCAAATACAATTTAGATGGGGCTACTATAAGGTGGGTGCATAACTGGCTGGATAACCGTACTCAGAGAGTTGTTATTAATGGTTCCCAATCCTGCTGGAAAGGCATAACGAGTGGGGTTCCGCAGGGGTCTGTTTTGGGACCGGCTCTGTTCAATATCTTCATTAACGACTTAGATATTGGTATAGAAAGTACGATTATTAAGTTTGCGGATGATACCAAACTGGGAGGGATTGCAACTGCTTTGGAGGACAGGGTCATAATTCAAAATGATCTGGACAAATTGGAGAAATGGTCTGAGTTAAACAGGATGAAGTTTAACAAAGACAAATGCAAAGTGCTCCACTTAGGAAGAAAAAATCAGTTTCACACATACAGAATGGGAAGAGACTGTCTAGGAAGGAGTACGGCAGAAAGGGATCTAGGGGTTATAGTGGACCACAAGCTAAATATGAGTCAACAGTGTGATGCTGTTGCAAAAAAAGCAAACGTGATTCTGGGATGTATTAACAGGTGTGTTGTGAGCAAGACACGAGAAGTCATTCTTCCGCTCTACTCTGCTCTGGTTAGGCCTCAGCTGGAGTATTGTGTCCAGTTCTGGGCACCGCATTTCAAGAAAGATGTGGAGAAATTGGAAAGGGTCCAGAGAAGAGCAACAAGAATGATTAAAGGTCTTGAGAACATGACCTATGAGGGAAGGCTGAAAGAACTGGGTTTGTTTAGTTTGGAAAAGAGAAGACTGAGAGAGGACATGATAGCAGTTTTCAGGTATCTAAAAGGGTGTCATAAGGAGGAGGGAGAAAACTTGTTCACCTTAGCCTCTGAGGATAGAACAAGAAGCAATGGGCTTAAACTGCAGCAAGGGAGGTCTAGGTTGGACATTAGGAAAAAGTTCCTAACTGTCAGGGTGGTTAAACACTGGAATAAATTGCCTAGGGAGGTTGTGGAATCTCCATCTCTGGAGATATTTAAGAGTAGGTTAGATAAATGTCTATCAGGGATGGTCTAGACAGTATTTGGTCCTGCCATGCGGGCAGGGGACTGGACTCGATGACCTCTCGAGGTCCCTTCCAGTCCTAGAATCTATGAATCTATAAGAGAATTCCTAGCCTCCTATTCTAGATTAGGAATCAGCAAGACAGAAATGTTAATTCATATTCTCCATCTTTTCTGAAGCTTTTCTGCAAGGTACCTATAGTCTGTGGAGGAGAGAAAAATTCTCTCTAAAATGAAGCAAACAGTAAAAATTTGGAGTCTAAAGCTAATCCACATAGGAACTACCATACTAGCTCAAACCAATGGTCCATCTAGCTCAGAATCCCATCTTTGACAATGGTGGCTAGTACCTGACACTTCACAGGAAGATCCACAATTGACCACTACGGAATTTCTTGCAAGTATCTTTCTAACCTGCTTTATAGTAATTGGTTGGCTCATATGCTGAAGCATGAAGATTTGCTTTTGGTACAAGAGTCAAAGGACAAATTGCAGACCTAAGATAAGGACCCACTGAAACAGAAAAAATTCTCCATATTTCCCAGCAACACCAGTATGGTTTGCCAAAGCAGGACTGGTAGTACAACCACCTAGCACTTGTCTTAATGCATCATGTGGTGTAGCAGATAAGAGCTACAGAAAGTTTATTGGAGTGCACACACAGTACTCAACATTTTTTCTATATATCCCCTATCCCATACTAATTCATTTCATGTTACTAATCTACTTAGTTGAGTGTACACGTAGCAGGTTAAGGAAATAGTGTCTAGAAAATAAGTTTGTTTAGGAGGCCATTTGTAAGGACACAGTGGTCATTTTCCCCCTTTAATAGTTAGTTTCCAATGGGAATGGATTTTACAAGAACTTCACTAAAGGCTTGATTTTTGTCTGTTACTAATACTGAGTGGTAGACAAAACTAAGGCTGTGGACTTTTATATAAATCAGTATGATTCATTGTGGTCATTCACAAAAAAAGTGGCTTAAAATGTATTTTAAAAACAGCAAATAGCGATATAGTGAAATATTTTAAATCTAATATTTTAATAATCCCTGCACTGCAAGAAAAAAAAAACAACAAACCACCTGGAATAAATGCATTTCAATCCCATTCTGTACTACACTACAAAGACAACAGCTTGAGCCTTCTCCCACAGAAGTAGTTGTTTACTTTAATGAGCACAGGACTAAGCCTTTATTCTCTGTTTGTTCATTAAATACATTTCTAATTAGACAACGAGCTATTGGGGGAGGGGAGGAATAGCAAACCTTAAAATCTTCAATTTCTAATAGTGGTTTATACTAGTCTTCACTGGACTGGAATAGTTAGTGCTAGATTGAAGTACTTAAAATAGATTAAAATCTAATTTATGTACTGTTAAATCTTCTTGAGCTTTTCAGATCAGATTCAAGGAAAAAACGTCTGTTCCTATGCTCAAAGAAAAGTTTATGATCCTCATGTTAAAACAGTCCAGTGTCCGGCTTTGGAAAAAAGTACATCTAAAAAGCTGTTAATTGAAATGTTTCACAGCTGAATGCTTAAAGAACCAGGAGTAGGAAAAAAGTCTGTGGACTACTAAAAATAATGTAAAGAAGTTTTCCTGTTTAATACATTAGAAAGAATAATTGTTGGAACATAATCTGTTATTTGAGAATTGCTCTTCATTGTTTCACAGCTGAGGACAGTGGTATGATCAACTACGATCCAACACTTTTTCCTTTACTAGAAAATTGTTCCATGACAAAGATTTTCTGTTGTGTCTATAAGCTTTTTCAACTTGTCACTAGGAAGAGTATGCAGAATGCTTTTGATAAAAAGAAGTACATGTTTCAGGTTTATGAGGCCTCAGAGCAGTTCATGAAGCAGAAAAAGAGTATCTGATGCATGCTGCAAATTGTGGCAATGTTCCCCGTTTAAGAATGGTTGTTTCCTATCTAAAAGCAGAACATTCCACTGGTATTGCAGATTGGCAAATTAAGTAGAGTAAGTGAATGAAAGCAGAAATCTAAATATACTAAATACTAAGGGTTTGTTTATATTCAGATTTGCATCATTTAAACTAGAGGTATGATTTTACACAGACTTAATTAAAGCAACGCTGAAGACTGGGGGGACGCATTTATTTTGGTTTAACTTAAATTGATTAGGAGTAGGTTTAAACTAACTTTGGTTTAAGAGTGGCATTTCAGGTAAGTGTTCTCATGGGATTTGTACTGGTTTAGCTAAATTAGTGTTTAATTAAAGGGGTGGCAAGTTTGTATGCAGAAAAGGCTTAAGAAAGCAAGCCAAGTGTTTACATGACAATTGCATCATTTTGGATCTATCTTAGAGATAACTCAGTATTATAGTAGTTGTTTGCTGTGCTGTTGTAGTTGTGTTGGTCCCAGTAAATGAGAAACAACGTGGGTGAAGTAATAACTTTTAATGGACCACTTTGTTGGGGGAAAGAGAGCTTTCGAGCTGCACAGAGGTCACCTGAAGAACACCTCTGTGCAGCTCGAAAGCTTGTCTTTTCCCCCCAACAGAAGGTGATTCATTAAAAGCTATTACCTCACCTTGTCTCTATTATAACAACATTTACGTTTACCATAGATAACACATTTTGTACCCAACTAAAGAGTATTTAAAGTCAATCAATCATATATTTTTGGAATGTATCCCGTGTCATTTAAATAGCCATAACAAAACAGAAGAGAAACTACTTACTGGTTGCATAGCTCTGGCTGTCTAACTAAATTTTGAATGAATTCATTCAGTCCTGCTCGTCTCTGTTTAATAAAATCTGGGGAAGAGGGGAAAAGTGTAATTAGAAAGAATCATTCAATGAATTCATGGCAAAACAAGTTTTTAATTTTGCATTTTTTACATTACTTTAATGGAAGTTAGTTAACAGAAAAAAAGCGTCTGAATATAATTGGGCTTCCACATGAGGATTTTGTATAGAAAAAATATGAAATGGGAAAGAATAGGAGCTCCAGTCTCTATATAACTCATTTTATTATACATTTTAAAAAGCAAAAATTTATTCAGCCCAACAGATCTTGCATGCGACAAGAATTCAGAGTGTGCAGTCACAATGGCCTAGATTTTGTATTGGAGAGCACACTGGCCCTGATCCTGCTAGCACTGAAGTCAGTGACAAAATCCAACAGCTACAGAGCTACCCTATAAGCAGGCATCAACATGTAACCATTACCAAAGATATTTTAAAATCTTTATTTCTCTCTCCACTTTTGATGTAGTTTGTCTTGTACAAAAGAGCTAACCTAACCTGAAACTAAACAAAAGGTTTACTTTGGTTCAGTAGTAAGGAAAGGCCCTACTACAGGACTGCAGTCCTTGTTATATCTATTTAAGATTAATTCTGTGCAAGCAAGATAGATTAAATCCCAAACAAAGAACAAAATAAAGGAATAATAACCAAGTCATAGTCTACCTGGATCAAAATTGTCTCCAAATATTCTTTTAGCTGGAATCTTCAGGTTCATAGTGGGAAATTGTTTCTTCAGCTAAAAAATAAACACCATATGCATACTTAGATATTTGGACTCCAAGGCAAATCCTATAAATAATTGCTTGATGTAGGCATATTTTACTCTCAAGTTGCAGAAAGTTTGGACTTTAGACTACTAGCATCACTTTTTCTGCCCTCAATATTGTCTTTGTTGGGATTAGTACAAAGGGGAGTGTGGAGACAGAAGGCTGATCTGCATATAAACAAATTGTCTAGGCCCCATTTACCAGTGTGTTACTATTTGTAACCTGGTTAGAAGACAAGTTCAACCTTGTTGCAAGCAGGGTTTTTAGCATCTATTGTTATTAGAAATGTTCTTTATTACACTGCCTCCTCTGGCCCAGTTTGCTTTTTTTCCCCTCCCCTCCCCCACAAAGTAGCTGTCTTCTGGCTAGGCAGACAGGTATTGACAAACTCAGTGGATAAGTCTCTGATGATAGAAGCCCTTGGAGCCCAATGCATTTCCAAACACCTACAACCTTCCAGGGATTGGATGCTGTCACTGCAGCAGACAGACCTATTCAAAGAAGAGACTGGCTTGTGAGAGTGAATCTTTGCCCAAATCCAAATACAACTACAATAACTTAAAAACAAAACAAAAATTCCATGCACTCGGCGTTGCAGAATAACCTGGTAGAAGAAAAATCCATGTTCACACTCAGACTTTTCTTAGTCACTCCTCCTTGTATATGTATAGCCTGAAAGTCAGGATCCAGGTTTACACCACAGCAAAGCAATCTCTAGGAGCAAGGAGCCCCTAGGCATGATGGCTGAAATTCAGACACTTTGCCCTAGCTATTGAGGAGCAAACTAATCCACCAATAAAGGATGCATAATGGTAACATGCCTGTGAGAGGCACTGCGTGAACTCATTTGAAAAAAGTGCATCCAGAGAGGACTGCAGATAAAGAATTTATTCATACTATGTAGGAGGCCAAACAATAGAGGGAATAGGAAGGAAAACTAAGGAGTTTACAATATGGTAGAAATCTTAGTAGAGATAAAGACACTAATACCTTCCAATTCATTCTCCTTGATCTCCACAAAGCCCATGTGTTTAAAAGCCACCATCTAAAAATTGTGAAAGGAGCAGCAGATACATCTCTCTCTGTTTTGGAGACTATTTCTTCTCCTCTGATTTAAGAGCTGGTGGTCCCTTTCTCCAGTTACCCCTTAGGCAAGTTTCAATATCAACTCCATTTGGCATTTCAAGTTCCTCCCTGACATGCTATGCAGTTTGCAGAGTCCTTTGGAATGTCCAGCTCCCTCCCTTCTTTTCAGGAGAAATTGGGGCAGATGTCCCTTTTCACCTTGGTTAATTTCTCTAAGAACCTACACTTGCATTAGAAAGGCTGGGGCCAACTACGCTTCATGACAGTAGTGACATTATCTGACAATCCAGATGGGTGGGCTATATTAGCATTCTTCAGCCACTGAAGAGGGGATACTTTCTTTCTCCCTTGACCCCATGGGTAGTCTAAGAGGTGTGCCAAGTACGACATGTGGCATCCCAGGCAAACTTCAGTCACCTAGGTAAAACAAGGTGTGTGGACAGAGCAGAGCAGAGCGCATGTCACTGAGGGTGCCAAGGAGGGTGGTTTCAGCAGCTGATGTGTTGTGAGCCAAGCCTCCTAACATGTATATGAGGGGCCGTGGGGGGTTAGTTCCTCTTGTAAGATCTGGAGGCAGTGACTTTAGGTGAGTACATACTAGGACAGAGTGCAGACAGTAGGGTCCCCATAAGTGCATGGCCCTGGATAACAACAAAATTGGCACATGCCTAGGACTGGCCCAGCTTGCTCTCCTCTAAGTGTGTACAGTAGTAACAGCCTCTGCCAGCAACGAACCCAAGAGATCCACTGAATTTCCACGAGTCTGCAGCTGCAAAGGCTTATTTTAGCTGGATCAAGTCTTCCCCGCCAGGAAATCATGACAACTCCTAACTGACTTCCAAGTACACCTCTATCTTGATATAACGCTGTCCTCGGGAGCCAAAAAATCTTACCGCGTTATAGGTGAAACCGTGTTATATTGAACTTGCTTTGATTCACCGGAGTGCGCAGCCCCGCCCCCCGGAGCACTGCTTTACCGCATTATATCCAAATTCGTGTTATATCGGGTTGCGTTATATCGAGTGTGGCAAAGTACCTCCTTCTCCTCAGCAGGCTCAGTCCTTTTCAGCCTTGGAGACCCAGGCTTGGGCAAAGCAAAACCCTGTAGGTATCACAGGGGCTGGCTATTCCTTCCCTCAGTCAGTCCCTTGTGCTTGTTTGTCTTCCCTTCTGGGGACAGAGTGCGGCCTTCCTTGCTGGAAGGGTTCAGAGCCTTGCTGCTCCTAACTTACTGGCAGCTTCCCTGGTTCTCTCACTCTCTCTCCCCCCCCACCCACCCACCCCCTTCCACACCAGGGAGGGTTTAAAAAAGGTCCCAAGCAGTTGGAGCCAGCTGAACCTAATTAATTCCCTAGTAACTCCTTGCCCAGCTGAACCTTATTTCCCCATGGTTCTCTCTCTTCAGTGGCTTGGGAGAGGCCTTTTTAACCCCCTGGGACTGATTACTACCCCCCCCCCCCGCCCGCCCTTTGTAGCTGTTTGTCCTGGGTTTGCCACACAAGGTAGCAGTGTATTTTAAGAAACAAGTTTTTTCAAAGAAGTACAACTATCTATACACTTGTTTCCTTTCTTTCTTTGCAAAAACAATTTAAAGAAAAAAAAAGTAATTGCTTTAGAACAAAGACAGATAAATACCACACACATACTTATTCAATAATATCCACATATCCAACAAACCCCAAAGTCCCACACCTCTAAAGCCTATTAAAGTTGAAACTAGTGAAAAACTGTCTCCGATGGTTTAATGTGGAACACGATATCTCAGTGGTTTGAGCATTGGCCTGCTAAACCCAGGGTTGTGAGTTCAATCCTTGAGGGGGCCATTTAGGGATCTGAGGCAAAAATCTGTCTGGGGATTGGTCCTGCTTTGAGCAGGGGGTTGGACTAGATGACCTCTTGAGGTCCCTTCCAATCCTGATATTCTATGATATATTCTACGACTACACACCATGAAGGAATGAATTCAAACCACAATACAGCAAACAAGCATTCCTTTGTGCGATTTTAGTGTGACTCTTTAGAATGCATTTTACTCACTGTGTTGTACAGTTTATCAAATTCAGCATATCGTCTGAAGACAAACCACTCATTTCTACCAACAGAGACCAATACTTTGTAAACCTGTGGGAACACAAAGGCAGAGTAAATGCCAAAAATCTGTTTCAGAAAAGCCACCTGTTTTGTTTTCGGGGGCTTATATGTGCATGTATGTACACACACAAACATATTTCTCACTAAGCTACTTGTTTATTACAACTTCATATAAGCGTTAATCCAAGATTAACAAATCCTGTTTTCTGTAAGCTGCAAAATGCTCATTTTGTTTTAAACTGGAGCCTTAAACATCAGTAAAACTACTATATAAACTCCATAAGATTAATACACATTCAGCAGAAGCATCTTGCTACTAGATACTAAAACACTGATACAGTCCACTTTGTGGGGGAGGGTGGAGAATGAAGAAAGCCTCAAGTCCAATGTAATGATGCAAGAATGAAAGTGGCCTCATTCTACAGAAATTTAGTCAGGTCTTTATAAGTTAATATATAAACAAGCTAAATCTATACATTTGTTTTAAAAGCAAATACTAAGGAAGCAAGCCTTCATAGTACTGTTAGCCCAAAAAAAGCACATGGTTGTCACTGAAGATCATCCTGACCCAAGCTTTTGTTGAGTAGCATGTCTTGACAAAAATAGGCAAGTGGGAGAAAGCTGTACATTCAACATATAAGCAATCACTTATCTGTAAGAGCAACTCCTCTGCAGATAGTATCTGTGGCGTTAGACTGCCTAAAAGTGTTTTTAGGATGCATCATTATTGGACAAAGTTGACAATCAAGTCTAGCAAAGAATTTATTTAAAAAGAGTAGTGTTTGCCACTCATGTTTCCAGAAAGGCATAAACTCTAAACCTGATTACATAACCATCCATTCTGCTTCAACCATGCTCAAACCGCAACAGCAGAATTAGACACCTCCCAAAGAGGAGAAGAGAGATGATGCACCCACAGTTACTATTTATAGTTAGTGATTATTCTTCTGAAGTATTATCTATGGATTCACGCTTACACTGCCATGACTAATGAAAGCATATGAGTTAGTGTAATAGGCTATAAACACTCCCCTGGAAGTCAGGCAGGGAGGAGTTAGTTATTTTCCAAGGGAGCCAGGCAAAGCACCTTCTCCAGCCCAGAGAAATTGGCTGGCCTGCCAGCTGGAAAAGGGAGGATCCCCATCTAGGCTCACCAAGGCACAGAAAAAACAGGAAGGAAAAATTGCAAGACAGTTCTGAGAGAGAAGGAAGACACACCCAGTCTCACTCCTCCCAGATGTGGTGCTGCTGCTGCTGTAGCCTGAAAGATTCTAGAAAGTGGCTGCTTTACCCAAATCCAGGACTGCTCGTAGCTCCTGCCAACCCCAGGAAGGGAATCAAGTCAGGAGACTCTCAGACCAAGATGTAACCAGGAGATCCAATGAAATTTACGTGAAGGATTATTCCCTACCTCCCCCAGATTAGGGACAGAGAGAGCAGAGCCAGCAATTTCTGCATTAAGCTAGGGTGGTGGCAGATTTAACCTGGGAAACAGACAGATTTAACCATGTCAGCTAGAACTACTCTTTTCCTTTGATTACCTGCAGCTGAAGTGAGCCTGATCAGGCTCAGCCACCTGGGGAACCAAGATGAGACAAGTCTTAATTTACACATCTATAAAGGGGCCAAAGCAGGGAGGCTGGTGTTTTAAAGGGACAGTATTCTTTTTCCTTTGTTTGCTGGTGTCTGCCACTAGACAGGGCCACCCTCCTATGGCTAAGCACAAAAATAATGGCTGGGCAAATGGATTGTCCAGATCTCTTCCCATGAATCCTATTTTTTTAAATGGAGCACATGCAGATCTCTGTTCCCATTGTAATGTTCAAGTCAGCTTCTGACTTCATCCCTTTTAAAATGAAAAGTCAAACCTCTTAGCAAGAATTATTAATCATGGTAGAAGAAACACCCTCACCTATAAAGGACCCTGTTTTAGATTACTCCCTGACATCAGACCTGCAGTGGAGGCCTCTGGCAGTCACAAAATCAGCCAGTCAAGTGCAGCCTGTTTCTTTTTCTTCTAAAAAGACATCTCCTGCCTTCCCTACTAAGGAAACAACTCTGTATCTTACCACAAAAGCCAAAACACTCAAACTACAAATATGTGGTAGTTTAGCCTAGTGTTAAGCATTACCAACTGGTACCATCTTTTTACCTGAGGACATGCACCATATTATGCAGACATGCACTTTTGTCCACACTACTGGCAACTACACTGTTTGACTCCTGTGGGGTGAATGGGAATAGAATGGAGTGGCATCCCTAAAGCTTAGGCCTTTGAGACATTATCCTCTCACCTGCTGGATGTTCAAGCAGTTCAAGAAAAGCGACACATCTAAGTGCAAGAATCTTCCACATCTTCCTTATGGTTTTTACAATAATGCTTTCCTCATGTGTGTCTGTCTCTCCTTTTAGTAATCCCCTCCTGCAGGCTCAAGGAGCAATGCCCAGGGGCTCCAGAGTCACTGCGATATGGGTTTGCGAGAGGAGAGAAAATAAATGCAGTATAATAGCCATAAAAATGCTCTGGAGGATGCAGGTCTACTATTGAAATTTACTGCACCCATCGCTTCTTGGCTGATAGTGTTATTAAATCCTAAAATATACATGACAAACCCACAAGCTTTGCTGTGAAAAAGTATAATTTGTCAGGCTGCTAATTATTCCTTGATATAAAGTGGAAGAGGGCAAAACTGAGCAATATGCTTCCATAGGGAACATTCACCTGGCTAGACTGTGCCTACTGTCACCTCTTCTCTCTAAAATTTCCCCACTGTTGCTAATGTTGGTGCAGCTCCACAAGTAGGAGTGCCCAGGGAGACAGGTCTCTAGGCTACAGCTGATTTTCTGCCTAAAAAGTTCTACATGACCTGGTGCTTAAAACTCTGGGGACTGTCATTGTCTTGTGCACTCTAGTGCTGTCACTAGTGAACTTACCACAGCAAGAAATTTCAGGACAAATGTCCAACCACTGACAAGTCTGTAAAGAATTAACATTTAGGCAGTACAATGTGTTAATTTTGTTGTAGGAAGATCAGACTTTTGAGAGAGCTACTTCTTTCAAACTACAAAATCGTATGAAATACACTTTCAACACATACCGACCCCCCCAAACTGCAAGTTAACCAAACACCCTTTTTCTTTTCCCCACTCCCCCCAAAATAGTTACTTCATGATATACTTGAATATTTACATTGACTACATAAAGTAATATTCTTTCCCTTCTGAAGATAAAAAGAATAACTCTGCTGTAGCCTGAAAACAGACATAAACCTTGCACTAGTTTTCATCAGTGAAACACCCTTGGATTTACTAATTCTCTAGAAAAATAGAACAAGCTAGTCAGCAGCTCTCAGTTTCAGGAGGAAATTGCACAACAGGGCAATGAATCAGATCACATTTTTGAAAGAAAGCATTAGGATGCATTCTTTATACCCTAACAGACATAGAAGCAAAGACAAAACCACCCAAAACCACTTTACTTCCTATATTAAGTAAGATTCTTTGCACCATTAAACAAAACAAATAAGTACTGCCTGCCACCAGATTAAAAAAAAAAAAAAAAAGCCTGCATGATGTACAAAATATGTCTATCAGGAGGCCAAAAAAACAAAAGGAGGGGAGGGAAACTTCCAAGAGCATAAGAGTCAGAGAAAATATATATATGAGAGAGAGAGAATGAATAAGTGATGAGTTTCCTTTAAAAATGTATAAAAACCATTAAGAAAAACTGTAAAGATGTAAAATAAATGTGGAGTGTGTATACTCAGGAGCTCACCTTTTTCTTTTCTTTTCTTTTTTTTTTAAATTAAAGTACACCTCACTCTTGGGATTTTATGTTTTTCACAGAAAAGATATGGCAACATTTGGATCGGATATGCTAGGGCAAAAAAAAATTTCCCCCCACATTTATACACTAATTGCCAAATATGAAAAAAAAAAATCTGCAGTTTTGTTTAAAGGGGTATCAAGAATTTGTAAACCAGAACTATATCTACAAAAAGTGACAAACTCTAGAATAAAAATCCTATTCTGCTTGAAGATTCATTGTGTAAAGCATTTTGTTCATTATATCCAGTACATATCATTTGAGCAAACACTAATTTCTGTCATCAGTATGTGGAGAGCACAAGAATAGTCAAATATTTAAGATGTGTGCTAATGTACAAAACAAAGCACATAAGTAACAAGTAGTCTGTCTAGAGAAATGCTAACATACTTACAGTAAACCTCTTTTTCTTCTCTCTATGTTCATCAGAGCTGGGAATGCTAACACTTGGGCAGCTTTCTTTGAGATCCATTTTTATGTACTCTTTGGCCAAGTTTGTGTCAAGAGACTCCACTCAATGTATAACAAACAGAAGACAATCTCAGCGATACTGATCCAAAATGTGAAGCTTTTCTTGGGAAAATTTAAATTCCATCATGCAACCTTAAAATGTAATTAAAAAGGTAAGATTAATACAGAAACATTGCTCATTTGCATGGTTAGAATTAGCCTGTGAGCTCTTTCTCTGGGCAGAAATTATAACTTCCTATGCAGGTATACAGTACATAGTGCAAAAGTGCCTGATCCTGATTGGGGCCTTTGGCCAGTGGGGACAACAGACACTGCTCATCTCTGCAACATACACAAACCCTGATCCTACAAGATGTTCCATGCTGGTGGGCTTTTGCCCCTTTACAGAGCCCCATTGACTTCAAAGGGGGCTCTGCAAGTGTTCAAGGCCCCGCTACAAAAACTAGCTTGCAGGATCAGGGCCACAGCATGTAATGCACAATTTGGGACAACAAGGCGACAGGCAGATAATTAACATCAGAGTCAAGTTAGTTTTACTCAGCCATAAGAGTTGTATTGAGGTAGAAATAATTTATTCAAGATTATTTCTAAATATCTTCAGATGTTCAAGTCTGTACCTCAGGGCACTGCATACCTGTCAGAACACACAGAGTATATTTAAGGAAAGATCATATGAGGAAAATCTTTCAAATCAAGTTTAAAGGGACAGAGTTAATTTTAAAAAGTCACTTCTGTCTTTTGTTACAAGTGAAGCATATGACGACAGTAACTCACAGATTAGGGAGACTTCCCCCAGTTTTGCTTACTTTGTGCTTTTGACAGCACACTGTCTAGAGAGTTTCATCATTTCCCCTGTACAGACTGTTAGTCAACCTCTCTTCATTTAGGCCTTTCAACACAGCAATAGGGAAGGGGGACATTTTAAAAGACAAGAAAATGAAAAAGTATACCTACCAAAATAGGCCGGGGCCAGGTTAGTATTTAACTGGTTTTCTGAAGTTTAGATTTCAAGTTAATGGTGTCCTCTTTCACTCACCATCTCTGGGGCAGGGACAATTTTTGTTGTCGTGTGTGTCTAGCACAAAGGAAACTAATCCCCAACTGAGGCCTCTAAATGTTGCCACAATACAAATATGAACTTTTAAGTAACACACAAGAGGACCATAAATAGATGCACAAATTTAACAAAAGAACTCCTGTTCAGGAATGTATGGATATTTCAGTTTTTTTGTTTTGTTTTTAAACCAAATACAGTTCAACCCTAAAAAAAGGTAACACTAAAATATTAAATATCTAGCTTGTTTCATATCTAACTCTACAGGGAGAAAGTTTTCGGGAGTGAAAAGCTCAAAATTTAACTGCCATTTTCTCAAAATAGGGAAGTTCAGCTAATAAATCTTAGATGGTTCTGGTTTTCTTCTTATGCTCAAAATCCAATCACCTTGATCTCTTCCAAATCTCCTCTAGTTTCTCCTCAGATTTGAGGAACTTGATCATTAATTATAATTTACAATTAAATAAAAGATAAATATTAATATGGTGAAATTATTAAAAATGCAGAAACAGCTATAATCACAGTGAAATCAAGATCATTCACTAAGCAGCCATATATTCAGTCAAATTTTGTTTTAAAAAGTTGACTCCCATTTGCCTTAATGTTTGACTTTCCCATACTTACTGGTAACTCACATCAGAGTAATAGTTTCCAAGTTTAATTCAGATATGTTAATAAGTTACATATTCAAATTACATTATCTTCTACACACCAAATCAGCCAGGAACGTGTACCTTTGATGAGCCACTGTTAAAAAGCCGTGTTATACTGTAAACCATAATTACTCTTTTATAAAATTATATTTGGGTGCGTAACCTGTAAGAAGTGTGCTCCCTTACTCCCCACACCTAGTTTAAAAAATAAACTAAAAATGTTGCAGTTAAATATTATACTGCAGTCCTTCCCCATTACCCCAAATATGTATTATTTGGTACAGAAGGCCCCTAAAGTCAATCAATCAAAGTGGTATAATATTTTCAGTCATGTTTTATACTAGGTATATGATTTACAAAACATTTATGCCCATTTATGGAGCTAGTAGTTACACATAGACTGCATTTTTCTCATATTGTTTACTTACTTATTTTCCTGGCCATCACGTCACACATTAGAACAGCAAGCTTTTTCCTTCCCTCATTAACACCATCCTCTGAGCACTGTCAACCTCTCACAAATGGACACTGTGTCTAATCCTACAATGTTCCTGGAATTTTTGCATTCACCCTCATGTCAATTCCACTTAGGGCACGTAAGGTAAAGATACAGGCCATCCCTCTCACATTCTTTAGATTTCAAAGCCATAGCAGAATGACAGGACACTAAGAGTTGCAGTACTACTGAAGAAAAGGCATGGATTATAAGAAGTCATAGTCCAGAGAGCAGTACTGCACAGATTTGATATATAGCTCATTCTCAAATGTAGAAAGTCCAAGAGAAGAGTCACCAAGTTTGATACAGGATGAATTTACTCATCTTGATCTGGTGGAAAAGAATGAGCAGCTATTGAAGACTTCAAAGAACAATAAAAATATTTATACTGCAAGTTGCTTGAAGCTTTGCATGATGCAGTTTGCATTTGTTTCCCTGAGGAGACTACACTTACAATAGCGTTGCAAAACAACGTTAAAATTAGGTGGTAAAATTGGAAAGAGCAATTGCAGCTTGCCTATGAAATTCCAGAAGGTGAAAGCCTTCATGCAGTTTCTATTCACCAGCAGCACTCAACTATCATGGTAACTCCTTAACTGTAACGTACATAAGAACTTCATTTCAAAAGGTTTTTCAATTTTTCTTGATTCCTCCACCCCTACAACACTGCAGATCAGCAGGTTTATTTGCTAATTTCAACAGTGCCTAGCACCATGGCAAGTAGGTAATTCAATAAGGATCACAGGTTAGATGTATCACTCATTAAAAAAGACAAACACAATCACACCAGACAAAGCAAGTATTGCAGTGTGCCTTTAAGGCTTTTGTAGACACTGGCAGACCACCCGAGAGGAGTGAATTTTAAATAGGAGCTGAGAAAACTCTACCACTGTTAATAGAGTGCTCCCCTATTAGAAACAAGTGCCTTCCTGCTGGCCTCAACTCCCATGACAGGTAGAGGGAAAAGATGAAAGTCTGACAACCAGACCATATACCTTGAATTGCACCCAAGTGTACGTAGGAATCCACTGCAGATATGTCTCCACACCTGGCAACTCACAGCAGTCGAGAGACATTCAGCATCAACTGAAGCTCCCACAGGCTGGAAGGGGGAAAGGTGCAGAAAACATTTGCACACAGATGGGCAAAGCTTTTCCAAAGAACTTTTTTCACCGAAAAATACAGATTTGAGTTGACTGAATGTTTTGTGAACTAGTGTTGATTTCAGCAAACTGTTTTGGTTTAAATGAAAAAAGTTTAGAGGAGGTGGCAGTTCCCCCTTATAAAGCTTTAGCCCAGTGGTTAAGGGACTGGGAGACCCAGGTTTAAATCCCTTCTGGTGCAGGGACTTGAAACCAGGTTCTCACTTTGTAGGCGATTGCCCCTAACCACCGGGCTACAGTGTATTCCAACGTGGAGGAAATCTCAGAGTTTCTTCTGTTGAAGCTGTTTCACTTTGTATAAAATAATGAAATAGTCATTGGACCAGAGAGCGAGAATATGACTTACAGCCCTCTGTTTAGGGCTCCCCCTTTGGGAGGGGGAACATCTAGGTTCCAGTGACAATTTAATTAATTTATACATAGAGGAACAGCTTCAAAAGGAGAGACTGAGAACAATCCATGGATAAATGCTCTATAGCCTGATGGTCAGAGCAAGGATTCAAACCCTGGTCTTCAATATCTCAGGTAAGTGCTCCAGGATAAAGGTTATAGGTGATGGCACTCCCCCCCCTCCCCGTTTTGTGAATCTAGCCCTTCATTTTCTTTGCTAAAACAAAACAAGGTTAAATGCCCAAAACTGAAATAAAGTTTAGTTTGACTTGAATGAAAATTACCCTGTTTTTTCCCTGCTGAAAATCCCCAAAAAGTTTGATTGAACAACCTGAACTTTAAAAAAAAAAAAAAAAAATTTTTTTTAGGAACTGCCAATGAAATGAAAATAGTCAGTTATTTGCACAGCTCTCTGTTGTGAGGTTTGCATTAGAAAAGAATGGGGCACAGTCTCCTTGGCAGTTTTAGATGAAAAATCATCAAAAGCAAATACCTAGATCTGTCACAAGAGCAGCAACAGATCCATGAATCATTCTGACAAAACCCAAGAATGCACACTTGTTAGATAGTGAGACACCCGTTTGTCCAATACCATTGTCTTTTACCAAAAAGCATGCCTTTCGTTCTTTTCTGGGTTAACTATATAGCCATTTCAATTTTATCCAGATCCCTGTCTCTCTCAGGAACTGTGACTGCCAGGAGAATAGAACATGGATGTTACAAAAAGCAGACACACAGCTGACTACCCCCATACATATACAACATTGCAGTACAATATATTTGAAAATCTCCTCAAGTGACCTATTATAAAAACTGAGCAAGATGGATCACTATCAGTACATCCACACAATTTCAATTCCATATTAGGATCTGAATCCTGACCGACAGGAATCCAAGAAGTCTTTTCAATCTACCGCTGAAGTTGGCTCATCTCGACCTTCTTGATAAACTTCCTTAAAACTGGAAGATTTGTGAGAGGATAGTAAGTAGTGAAGTTTTAATGTCCAAATATGGTTCCATAAGCAAGGTCCTAACCACTTGTCAACCATGGCTAGCTGCTTGCACTTTTGGAGAGAGGAATTAAAAAAGTTTCACCAATGCCCCCTTCCCAATGACCCTCCTGCTGACTTTAATCCTTCACCATGGACAATACCCCTCTGAAGAGTAGCTGGGTGATATTCTAAGCACCCCCAAAAAGCCCTGTAAATGAAAGGTGGGTGAAAGCCAGCCCCCTCCTATTCTAATACTTTTCCGTGGTGATTGGAAACTTGGCCCAAACTGTACTATGAAAGGCCTCTCAAGTTTTGTATCTAATAAAAGAGAAACATTTTAGTCTAACTATTTTAACTAGTTATCTTACGACAGCACCCAGAGGACCCAATCAGGATCCCAGTCCCATTGTGCAGGATGCTGTACAGACACACTGCAAGAAAAAAAGTCCCTGTCCCTCAAAAGCTAAAACTAGATTAGACAGTTTATGTGTACTCCATGCTGGCTGTAGCACTGAAATTAATAACCAAACAGCATGCCCAAAGCTCCACTGACAACAATGCTGCTGGTGTTCCCACACTGTAAAGGAAGGGTACCATCTTCCTTTCAGCACTTTGAGCAATAGGAGGAAGCAGACAGGGAGGTGGAGCGGGCAAGAGGAGTGGGAGGGCAGGTGAAAATAAGAGGACTTTTCCAAATGTATTTGGAAAAGAGAGTCAGCAGGAAAAGAATCTGGCATGTACCTTTTAAGAGGCAATATAAACAAATGACCACAAGGAGAAAGACATTTGGTGGCTACACTAACCTTTCACCTCTGGAAAGCTAGGTCCAAATCCAGGGCTGGGTCACAAGTGAAATCAAGATCTGGCAAGCTCCAGCTGAGATGGATTCTGGTGCAGGAGGGACCTGCAAGAAATAACGCTGGATAAATAGGAGATATTTCAATTATTTGTCATGGTTAAGAGTTAAAAACAGGTTTCATGTTCTCTCTTTAAATTAGGCCATAGTATCAGTTTCAGTACATCAAGATAGGATAATCACAGGAAGAAGAGAGCCAGGGACTGTCAGAGGATCATGAGACTTAAAAAGTATATTAAATTTGTCCATCGCTAGCCTAAACCCTAACAAAGCTACCTGAATTTCAAAAGGGACCCAAGTCCATTTGGATTTGTTGAATGACTAACTTCAAAATAATTCAGGTTTCAAACAGACCACCCTTTAATACCATGTGCATTTTCATTTTATGGACCTTTTTGTAAGTTTTAAAGAGGGTTTTCAACTCTCCTGCTGATGTTTACTAAAATCTGTCCAGCAAAGGAGAGTGCAGAGCACTTCCCTACATGCCCAGGCCCACCCCCCTCAGCTCTTCACGCATTCCTGCTGGTTGCCATTTCAGTTCTGCTCCCATTAGTGGTAAATACCCTAGGGAACAGCTTGCACTTGGAGCTCCTTCAGATAAGAGATGATGAAAGCAATGCTAGTTCATAAGACAGGAAGTGCAACATTGGCCTTCTGCAAAATGATAAAACTGAATGAAGACAAACTGCTGTCAAACTGGAAAAAAGAAGAGTGTGAATTGTGTTCCTCCTCCACCCCTTAACCTGTAAGCTGCTGCTGTAAAAACAAAATCATCACCACCACCCCTCCCCCACCACCGGTCACTCTGCAATAATCTGGTCAAGGTGAAATTTAACTCTTTTGTTATTCTCCCTACGGGAAAGGAAGAGGACAGAGGTGAGTGAGAAAGGTTAAAGAAGAATGAAGAGGAACAGGAATAGGGGATAATTGCCTACTTTGCATCCCCTACCTCAGTTTCACTGGGGAGAAAGAATAAGGGAGACATTTTCTACTTATAATCCCACTGAAGAGTATGCCTCCCCTAGGACAGCAACACTTATTTTATCTGTCCTGGGACAACCACTAACTGTTACATGTGAAATTTCAACATTTGTATCTCAGGTTGGATCTGTCAGGATTCTTGTTTATTGCAAGACAGAATGCGAAGAACTGCAGGCTCCACCACTGTTGAATGACTGTAGTGTGGATCATTACTAACAACTGAGCATGTATTCAGCAAGCTCCTAGATCTGCCTTAAGAGCAGCCCTCTAGAATTGTTAGTGAAGACTTATTTACCCATATTTAGTCCTTAATGATTAATCTCTAGCCAGAGAATCTGGACGAAGGGATACAACAACTGCAAATGCATTAAATTAGTCTCAGTGATGAACTACAGGCAGTAAAGTCCATTCGCACTGGTCATATGCCAACACTTATGTTTTCTGGATTGCTTCCTCAACCTTCCTGTGTAGCAGCTCCAATTAATTTAGGCAAAAATTTTCAAAATTTGGGTGCCTAAGGACAAGCTCATAAATATGGATTTAAAGTTTTGGCCATAGTGCCTTGAGCTGCTTCTGACAGATCTTACGATAAAGCCTATCCCACTTCCTTTACTTCAACCACCTGTAGGGAGTCTAATTCTGCTTCAGCAGGCAGTCAGGCTTCTGTAAACATCGACCAGAGGGTTGTTATCCCCTTTTTGACTCTATTAACATACATCCAGTCACATAATTTGGAGAGGCAGGATAGTCTAGAATAACGAATATGGTATTGGGAGTCAGATCATCGTAAACTCCAATTCTGGCTGGGTTACTGGCTGTGTGTGTGTTTGGACAAGTCACTTTACTACTTTGTCTCCAGTTCCCATCTTTAAAATCATAGAAATGTAGGGCTGGAAGAGAAGTCAGGTCACCTAGTTTAGTGCTGAGGCAGAACCAGGTATACCTCCTAGACCATTGAGAATACTGACATATTTAAGGAGGGTGTTGCAATATTTGTAAAGAGCTCTATAAAAGTATACACCAAAATTTCATAACCAACAGGGTAAGAGATCTAGAAAATGGAACGTCTCCAGAACAAAAAGCTGATGGGATATGCAGCATCAAATCTAAGCATACTCTTCAAATTTAGATATCCCTAATTCTGCAGAAGTCAATGGAACAGTTCATACTGCCAAATTCCAACAGTGACAAGGGGTGAGGTAATATATTCGAGAAAGCTTGTCTCTCTATCCAATAGAAGTTGGTCCAAAACATATTACCTCACCCACCTTGTAACTCTAATATCCTGGGACCGATACAGCTATAACAAAATTCCAAGAATGTAACATAGTTAAGTAGAACAGATTCAAAGGCAAACCAAGAAGCGCATTAAGAAACTTACAGCAACACAATACTGTGGGCCCAATTCATCCATACCCAACCCTTTGGGTAGTCACTTACACCAGTGCAAAGTATTACCAAACTCAGACTGATAGTGTTTTACACCCACTCTGCACTGATCCAAATGTCTACAGGGAAATGGTGAATCAACAGTCTTTCCTCAGAGAATAAGGTCACAATAGATGTCTTAAAAAAAAAATCTAAGGATATAGAAAGCATCTATTTTATGCCTACAATACAAGTTGGTGTCACAATTTCTAATGTGGCACGGTTGTGATTTATAGTGAAAGGTGCTTATGGAAGCTAAGCATCAATTAGACACCACACATTAAGGCTACCATCAAGCAGGATATAGCTGAGGTAATTTATACAGCTTTAAAGAGAGTATCAAAGAAATAAAAATAGCAATCCTTTACTGCTGCATACAAATTAAACTTGAAAAAAAAAATGATCTAACAAGTCTTCCATATTGCATTCTTTTTTTAAAGTAATACAAAAGCCAATTTTGAAAATCACTACAAACACTGCAGACACAAAAAGTTAATATAAAAATACTGAAAATATTAAGATTGTAATAAGCCTACAAAAAAAGTTCCAGTTAAAGAGTTAATGGTATTCCTTCTTTAGTTCCAAAAGGATCTTCAAGAAAATAGTTACAGGGAATTATGTGATCTCCTCTAAATTTGAATTTTCTTGTTTTTATTAACTCCTGTTATAAGCTTTTAAGATGTATTTTATTAAATTCTTCCATTTAGAGTAGTAAATAGCAGTCACCTGAAAGATCAGATTAATGTTCTGGTGAGCACTATTTAAAAAAACAAAACAACACAAAAAAAATGTATGTTTAGGTACTCATGAGACCAGAACAGTTTCATTGGAGTTCTTCTAGTCTATCCGATAAATGGCTTTTTCAGTTTAAACATGAAACATATCAAGTCAGCATAACACAACAGCCGCTCTAAATCCAAATTTAGGTATCTCAGTGTATAATCATGTTAAGTGTATCTTCACTGAAAGCTATGAAACACCTGACTGCATGAAAAATGGAGCTAGTGATTTATCTGTGAAATTCCCAGGAGTGTGGTGGTTGTTGGGAGAAGCACAAAGGTCTTGAAACTGCAGACATAGGGTAAATAGTGTGTTGTAATAAGTTTAGCAAGCGATAACACAAACCTCAAAAATAGAGAAGTGAGTGACAAACCACATTCCATATTGAGTTATGGCATGTTCAGAATCAGAAAACAGAAGGGTGTCTTTTGGATGGTGTAGGGAAGAGAATTGACCAGCTTCCCCTAACATTTGTATGAAAATAAATTAAAAAAAACTCTAGTGTCACTGCAGCAAATCTTTAAATACTAATACCTTACAATTTTATATTAATGGACATAAATTACATTCCCCCAGGAGACCCAAATTCATATCATGCAATAAAGGGATGGGGGGAGGATGCAAAGTATTTGTTGTTTTAGAAGGAGCCTTAATGGAGTTCTAACACATCAACTCCAGTACAACTGTTAGTTTCCCCCCATAATTGCAACTTTTCCACAAAATGAGCAGTTTACAGCCATAAGCAATTTTGTACAAGACACAAAGAAATCTCCTGAAGATAGAGTTTTATATCATTACACAGGAGGTGGCTGCTCCTTTTCCCCATCCCAGGGACTCGGACAGAAGAGAAGTGTACCTACTCAATGCCAGGTCCTATTCGCACCCTCAACACCTTGCAGCAGGGGTTGGGAAATTCATTGCATCTTGTTACAAGGTGAAGAAATGACATTGATCTACTGAATAGGAAAAAAGTCTAGATAAACTGAAGTATTTTCTGAATAATGTCTCCTTCACTTTAGGAAGGGAGCTCCTCTTCTACCGCCATCCCCCTTAACCCTGGGAGCCCCAAAGCAACACCTAAACAGAGTACATGGCTCCAAAACCCTTCTCTCTTGCACCCTGGACCCAAAGCTGTATCAAAGACACAGACACCTGACAGCTTGCAAGACAAAGTGCTCAGCTTCCTCTCCCTAGGCATGCCCATCTGGAGAGCTCTGTAAGCAAGTTGTGTACACACACTGGAACTCTTCCAACAACGACTGCAGGGCAATGAGAGGAACTGTCCCCTTTCTGATGATCACACAACAGAGTCCTGAGCTGTTAGTGCTCTCTCAGCCAGAGCAACTCACACTCCCTATATCACAGGACACTAGAGGACCAGAACGAGAGCCCAATGAAAAGCACCACCCACTCCTACATAGAATCCGGCCCAAGACTCAACAATACTAACCTCAAGATGCAAAAAGCCCCTATCCAGAGTCAGACCTTTCAAGACCTTGGACCAAACCCTAACGAGACAAGACACCGCCCACTGGGGACAGCAGATCAGAAACCGTAGTTAAGAGCCTCCGCAACAGCAGATCTGGCTGTGACCACAGGCAAACCAGACAGCTGACTGGCGCTCAACGCGCACCACCGCACCCGCAAACGAGAGCGCGAAGCCAGTGCAAACCCAGCGCGGGAGGAGCGCCCCGGCCGACACTACGAAACCCAACACACCTGCGAGACACACGGACTCGGATTGCGAGCCATGCATCGCCAGCCTGTCCGCCCGCGGAGGGAGCGGAGAGGAAGGCGCTCCTCGGCCGGAGACGGAGGCACAGGCACATTAGTGGTGTTTTAACGGGAAGAATTAAAAC